TGGGTTTGAACCACCAGCCTTCTGGTTAGCAGTCAGATGCCTTAGGCACTACGCCACCAGAGCTCCTGTGGACTCAGATTTATTTGGTGTAATTTTCCCTCTCCCTGAAGGACTTCTTTAAATTCTTCCAGATTTATCTACTTTTGTCTGAAAGTCTTTATTTCACTTTAATTTTTGATATTTTTGTTAAGTGTAAAATTCTAGATTGATTTTTTTTCGCAGTATTTTAAAGCTGCTGTTCCACTGGCTTTGTTTGTTTTTGGCTTTCATTGTTTTTGATAAGAAGTCTGCTGTTGTTTTAAATCTTTGTACTTCTATAAGTAATTTGTCTTTTTTTCTCACTGCATTTCAGATTTTCTTTGATCACTGTATTTAGGTAATTTGATTATGATATACTTTGGATAAAATTTTGTTCATATTTCTTGCTCTTGGGACTTTTTAAGATTCTTGGATCTATTGACCTAAATTTTTCATTAATTTTGAAAAAAAAAAAAATTGACCACTTTTTTCTGCAAATAGTTTCTCTGTCCCTGCCTCTTACCTCTCCTTCTACAACCATGTGTATGCAACTACACATAGGTCACCTGATGTTGTTCCACAGCTCACAAATACTATGTTGCTTTTGTTCTTTGTTTCTTATTTTCAAAGTTTTTATTGATATATCTTCAAGGTCCCTAATCTTTTCTTCCATAGTGTCTAATCTTCTGCTAATTCCATCCAGAGTGTTTTTCCTCTCAGTAATTTTATTTTTTATCTCTTGAAGTTGCTTTGGGTCTTTTCTTTTATCTTTTGAAGTTGTTTTGGTTCCTTTCTATCTTCCATGTCTCTCCTTAACATGCTCATGCTTTATTCTACCTCCAAACATACTTATAAACTATATTTTTAACTTATAATAAACCATATGTTTGCATAGTATCATCTGTGTCATTTCTGGGGTCTGTTTCTATTGATGTTTCTCTTCATCATAAATTGTATTTTTCTGCTTCTTTACATGTTTGATAACTTTAAATTGGATGGCAAACATTGTGAATTTTACATTATTGAGGTTGAAATAATTTTTATTCCTTCAAATATTTCTGAGCTTTGTTCTGACACACAGTTAAGTTACTTGGGGAAAAAAAAATCTTTCAAGACTTACTTTTAAGCTCTGTTAAGCAGGTCCGGAATAGCCTTTAGTCATTTGGCCTCATGACTGGAACAAATGAGGATAGCAGTGGTTCACTGGTAGAATCTTGCCTTCCATGCCAGAGACCTATATTTGATTCCCAGCCAATGCATCTCAGGTGCAGCTTCTGCTTGTCTGCCAGAGAAGTCTTGCATGTTGCTGGGATGCTGAATAGATTTCAGTGAAGCTACTGGACTAAGAAAGACTAGGAAGGCCTAGTGACCAACTTCTGAAAATCAGCCAACGGAAACCATGGATCACCATGTCCGATCTCATTGCTCATGGGTTGTCATGACTTGGGGTCCAATTCAATGGCAACTGAAAGCAGCAATTGGAACAACACCCTTCTGATGACTCTACTTGATGCCCTATCCATTAGGAGGTCTTTCCAGTCTGGCTGGTAAGAATATTAACTATTCCTGGCCCTGTATGAGCTCTGAGGATTGTCCGACCTGATCCTTTCAGGTGGATTTTCCTGGTTTCAGGTAGTTTTCTTACAAGCATGTACTACTGATCTGTACTCAGCCAATGACTTGAAGAAACTCTCTGCAAATGTCCAGAGCTCTTTCTCTGTTCAGTACTTTCTATTACTTTCTATTGGATACCCTGCCCCATAAATTCTAGCTGGCTTGGCCTCTCTGAACTTTGTCTTCTCAGCTCAGAGAGATTGCTGGTTGCTGTTTAAGTATCCCTTCTCTCTCCAAGCACTAAGTTGGGGTAATCACAGGCCTCATGTTATTAGATTTCCTTCTCTCAGGAATCACTGTTGCGTGTTGCTAGTTGTCCAATGTCTGAACACCACTGCTTCATGTATTTTGTCTAGTATTTCAGTTAAGGCAGGAAGAGAAATCTTGGTATTCCCTAATAGCAAGAAGCAGAAGTCATCATTTATTTATTTATTTAAACTCCCCAGGTTAAAATTCTAATGTGCAGTCAGGGTTTAGAACCATGGTGGCCTCGTTTTTGTCATCAGAGTTTTAACCACTGTTGCCGGTTCTTCCCCCTTTACCTCACAGCTATGCTTCTACTGTTCCCTTTCAAATCAGACTGGTAAACACTTTCTGTGTCTTCTGCCTGAAGCTAGAAAAAAACGGACAAAGAAAGGCATGTCATTCTAGTATTTGGCACTTATTATTAGTCTTCTCCTTGTTTCCAGGCATGGTAATCTAAGTCAGAGAGACAGCAGACATCCTGAATTCCTATCAGTCAGCAAACAGAAAGAGGAAAGAAAATCAGCTAAGGAGATGTTAGGAAGTTTATCTGTGGAGGGCTGCAGGGGCAAGGTGCCAGGCAGGACATTATAGTAATGGGACATAAGCTATCTGTCAAATAATTGTGGGAAAACAATATAAACTAAGTTAAACAAAAAAGAAACAAACCAACCTGCTATCGGCTTGGGGTACAAATCAGTAAAGGCAACTCAGCATCATTCCCAGTGAGCTGTCCAAAGGGAACGGGAAGCAGTAACGTTACTGTGTGTGCCAAGCATTTCTACCTGCATCATCTCATTCCATCTTCATGTACTCCGAGTCAGGTGTTCTCTCTATTGCATACACATGGGAAACTGTGGGTTTGAGAGGTTAGCAACTAAGTCACACAGACAGTACAGAAAGAGAAAGGGTCTGTGTCCCTTCCCTCTGCTTCTGATACTTGTCATAAATGGTCTCCCGGCCCAATGCACATAATTTTTTTTTTAAATTTGTGTTGAAATATAACATAACTAAAGTATAAAAATTGTAAGGGCACTGCCTGATGAATTTTCACAAAGTGAACACCCATCTAACTAGCACCCAGATAAAGAAACACAGCAATACACGTACTTGAGAAGCCTCCTCATAGATAGTCTACTTTTGACTTAGGCAGTTTATCTGAGGCATGCACTGAAGCCTATAGCTCAGGGATCTCTGTGGGCTTCAGAGATCCATAAATTCTCTGAAATTACAGGCAAACATTTTTATATGAGTTCATACATTTTCCCCAAGGAAAGAATATCGTGCCTTTATCAGATTCTCCCAAGGGGAGAAGAATCCAAGCTATAACTGAAAACTGGCTCCTAGAGAATCCATTCATTCATTCAACGTTATAATCAAAACCAGAATACAAAAATAACAATGGATACCATTTGAGAACTTTACGTGTTATGCACTATGCTGGGCATTTTATTTGTATCATCTCCTATTTACAAAACCCTGAAATAGAAATATCATCATCTCCATTTTAGATATGGAAACTGAGGCTCAGGAGCGGTGAAGCGGCTAGCCCAGTGTCATACATTTATTATGTAGGTATTTTCAAAAGCTCGGATTTAGCATCAGATCTGCTGCACCAAAGCCTCTGCTTTTTCCTCTCAGACCACAATGCCTTCTGTAACATCGAATTGCTTAATTTCTGCTCAGAAGAAGCTAAGGCTGAAACTCAGAGCTGAATGTTGTTGTTGTTGTTATGTGCCGTCGAGTCAACCCTGACTCATAGCGACCCCTCCTTGGGTTTCCGAGTCAACCCTGACTCATAGCGACCCCTCCTTGGGTTTCCGAGGCAGTATCACTACAGAAGTAGGATTGCCCAACCTTCCTTCCGAGGAGTGGCTGGTGGGTTTGAACCGCCAGCCTTCTGGTTAGCAGTCAAGTGCCTTAGCCACTATGCTACCAGAGCTCCCCAGAGCTGAATAGGAAATGAAAAGAGTGAAGTCAAAAAGCCTAGGCGCCTTTTTTTTTTTAAAAAAACAATTCCTCTCCAACCAATGAAAAATCATCACAAAGGAGAAAGTCCCGCCTTTGAAAGATACTTTGCCCTCAAGAGGTGTGGCTACAGGTTTCTCAGTAGGAGGTCATTATCTAACCACAAACCAACTGTCATTACACTGCACTTGAGAGGACAGTTATGATTGGTTAACCACAAGAGCAACATTTGAATTTAAAGAAAAGACCAAAACAACCAAGGTTATTACTTCAGTGAGAGATAAAGCTTTGTTGTTGGAGGAAACTCCAACTGGTGTCAGAGATTAGGCACTGCTATCCACGCTAGTTTTACAACAATAAAAACAAAAACCCCAATGCTAGGATAAAACCACTGTTACTACCTTAGTAATGGATTTTATTACTATCTAATTTTCTTCAAGAAATTAGCCCCTATTTTAAGTAAAACTCACTGAAAAGTTATACAAATGACACAAAGGTGCTTCAGACTTTCAAAACACTAGTAAAAACAAGTACTTATAGTTTAAGATTCAAATTTGTTAACCTCTAAATTGAAAGCAAAAATTACCAGTCTCCAGAGATTGTCAGAAAAGGCAGCAAAGTCAGAAGAGGCCACAGTTCCTGATGCCTGCTTTCCTGCTCTGGATCACAGCTGGAGGTGATACTATTTCCCATTTTTCCCACTGTGGTGGCATCTAAAAGTGCACTGTATTCTTAATAATTATACTGGAGAAGGCACACACAATAAAACCTATAGAAGTGGGCCAGATGACTTGTTAATAGAAAAGCATGGTCTCAAGTTACAGATCAAAAACTGCATCCTTTTAGTACATTAATGATACATCATTCTGAGTCTTTGATGAATTCGCAGCTTAATGAGATAGGAAAATAAACAGAAAAAAACTTTCAGGCAATACAAGTTCTTCTGATAAATACAGCAAGAGAGTGAGCATGAAACTTTTAGAGAACCTGAAATGCTGAAACTCCTATAACTCGATCTCTTTCCTCAGCAAGTTTTTCTATTTCAGAAAGAAAGTAGCATTGTTCCAAATTTTATTCCCTCTATTTTATGTTCATGAAGTAAAGCATTACTACCCATAGAGTCATCAAAGCAGCAATGTAGAATTTCCAGGGTTTTGTTGTTGTTGTTGAAACTCACTTTATTTAAAAAAAAAACAAAACTGTCATGAACAATAAATTACAATCATTTCCCCCCTCTTATAAATTCTTCATAAAATATATTTGACAATTTTAAAAGAAAATTTCAAAAATTGCTTTCATTTTTGAAGTGCTGATGACTTATTTTTTGACCATTTTGTCATGCTGGTGAATTCTTTTGTAGCTGCTACAATAGTTTGATTGATAAAACATTTTACAATTAAAAACAACAACGAAGAGAAAAACAGACCAGCAGAAAGAACTATTCAGTGTGCTATTTATCTGACACGAAACATTTACTTCATCATAGTGACAAAGTATTCCTTAGCACCAAAAAATCTACAGGAACCCCATCTTTCTAAGTGACAACTAGTGCAAAATAACATTCTAAGAACTAACTGTACAATCCCATATTTTAACTGGCCACAGCTGCCTATAAGCTCATTTGAGATATTTGGTCTTTTTAAAATTAAGACAAATTTCATAATATGCTATTAATCATGGCAACAGACTCTACTATGAGGAATAATTGTTTACTGAGTACCTATTATGGGCAAGGCACCAAATTCTTGCTTTCATTGTTCCTTGAGCAAATATCGAGGCATTTCCAGGTATCAGTGATCATCTTTTACTTCTTATTCCTGGTCTGTGGCTAAATGCCAATTTTTAAATGTCATTTTATTAACTGACATCTAGTGCTGAGCACACAGTATGTACTTAATATTTTATGATTGAAAAGAACAAAGACAGACCTAGAATTTATCATTTTGCTTGGTACCATAGGCTATTTTAGAATATAAGGACTTGAAAAAATTCCAAGAGACTGATCATATTATACCATTCCTATCTCCAAAGAATTAATTTTACTTTATAGGTAAAATCGTTCAAAATAAATGGTAAGTATTTTAAATGAGGCAGGTCCAAACGTTATATACTTGGGAGACTGTGATTCCAAGCACATATATTCAAAAGGGCAAATGAAGCACTGGCATAATTTCACCTCTGAATCTCTGTTGAAGTGCCACATAACTGATGAGACATTATAATAATGCTTTTGTCTTATTTCCAGTAACTAAATCCCCTTGGATAAATCTGTTAACACTAATTTGGTGATCCAGGGGATCACATTTTCATGAGGTTCCAGTGTATTTCCACCTCCAATTTCCAAAAGAATTCTTACATTAGCTTGAAAGTGATGTAAAAAGCATATATATATATATATATTTTTTTTTTTTTTCCATTTTAAGAGGCTATAATGAAACCTTTAGTCCAAATTTTAAACTTCCAGACCAAGTAACACATTGTTCAGAAATTTTATGTACTCAAATTTTTTGTTCTCTTCTGAACACATTTTAAATGAAGAAAAAACTATATGGCAATATTCCAAAAGTTGTGGAACTTTTATAAAAGGCTAAGGAGACTATGGAAACAAAGATTTCAGTATTTTTATAGTTAAATATTTTGTTTGACTTTTGACCAAAGATTCTGATGCTTTATAAAGATTAACCTAGATACAAAAGCCTTAAAGTCTATTTAACTTTAAAGGCTAATGTTCTGTTTTAGGAAAGCATTCTTTCATTAGCTCTTAACTATCTGCGTTTATAAAAAACAAATTGGAGACAACTATACAGGATTAAAATCAAACTAACTTCAAGAACAATAATAGTCTGTTGGTTTTTTGACATAGACCATACCAAGTAATTGTATACAATCAATTTTTCTATTTGAAAGATATAGTTGATGCCACAATATTTTATCCATTTGTCAAACTGATTAAGTATCTTCACCACTTTAGAAAAAAGGTGATCAACATTTCAGACAACCATGTCACTACCATTACCGTCTCAAATTAGACAAGAGAAAACAGCATCAGTGCCAAAATGAAAGGAAATCCAGTGATTCAACAAGAGACCATATCAGGGCAGGCAATGTGAGAGTAGAGCTCATTTGGTTTTTTTTTTAACTTTATGCTGAAGCTGAGACAAAGTCTTGAAATCAAAAATTAATATATCAATTATTATAGTTTGTATATAGCAAAGTTTTCAGAAACAGTAGAATCCTGTGTTCAGATTTATATCAGGTTGTAGATACTCAAGTGCAGACATGTCCCAACACAGTGGTTTAAATGGTTAACTGAATTCTTGGTTACCTAAAAAAGGTAGACTGAAATCATTACCGTCCTTGTCAACCTGTTACCACATGACTACGTAACTAATTTAACTCCTGCAGCTACAGGGCACTGGAGAGCTCAAACATACTTCAGCAGCTTTGGATGACTTAGTTTCATTTATGTTTAATATTTTAGACCCTCCAAACTGATGCTTAAAAAAAAAAGCTTTATAATATTACAAAAATAAAAAAACTGTATGATTTCATTAGAGGGAGGAACAGGGTAGGAAGATGAGGGAAGGTTCTTTTTATTTTCCATCACTGATTTCACCAGCAAATCTCAAAAATCCAAACCTACATCAAATAATTTAAACAGAAGTGGCATTTTCTTCATATGGAATGCAAAATGCACACATTCACATACTTACATATACATAAATATATACATATATGTTTCCTTTACAAAGCTTCAAGGTTGCATTACCAGCATGCAAACCTCTTCTTCCATGGAAATTCCTAATACTGACAAGGAATGTCTAAAATACTTAAGAGATCTATTTCCAGAAAACTGGACTCTCTTCTTTTCTTGGCTCTTAGCGAATTTTCCCGCCAAACTTCTACCAATGATCATTTTAAAAATTTACACTCACATTGGTAATACACAGTTAAAACGTACTAACAAAATGGCCAACTTGGACTTAAGAAAACTGAGGGGAAAAAAAAAAAACACCCCACAATAAAATCTAAACCCTTAGAAGGTGTTTAGCTTTTTATATTCTTTTTTAGCCATATAATGTTGCATCACTGTTAAAACAGAAGCAGCACATCATCCAAGTATTTGCAAACAATATGCGTCACGTTTCCCAGCTGCTATCTTTAAACGCAATTTGTACTAATCTGAGTTCTAGTTCAAAAGCATCTGGACGATCCTGAGGGTTTGCAGCCAGCATTTCTTTAATCAATTGTTTCATTCGCCCATTCATAGACTTTTTCTTCACAGGAATGAGAAGTTCCATTTTGGGATTTTCCAGAAGCGCCTCCCCTACAGGCACAATCTCAGTTCCTTGTTTCACGTAACTCCCCAAGAGTTCCTTCTTTGTTTCCGTGTCTATGAAGGTGATCCTTTCCAGCATCGCCCAGATGATAATCCCCAGGGCAAAGATGTCAGCTTTTGCTGTGTAATGTCCCTCCCACACTTCAGGAGCCATGTAGAAATCTGTTCCACATGCTGTGGAGAGGAAACACTTGTTTACACTGACAGGTTCTTCTGGGTTCTGTCCAGAGGCTGAACAAACTTTACTTAAACCAAAATCGGCCACTTTCAGTGTGGGTTCCAAGTCACTGGTATCCAATCTGCTTTGAGAAATCAGGATGTTATCAGGCTTGAGATCTCGATGAATGATCTGGTTTTTATGCAAGAAAGCCAGGGCACTGCTCAGCTGAAGCATGAAGCTGGTGTTAGTTTTACGATTGGGTTTCCTGGACAACAGATACTCGTTCATATCTCCTCCGTCACAAAAATCCATCACAAACCACAAGTAATAGGCGCTTCTGGGATCAAAGGCAATTTCTCCTTTTAATGAAGTCTCTACAAGCTGTAACAAGTAAAAAGAAACATACAAACAGATTATAATCATCGGATCAGGTAATGTAATTCAGTTATAGTACAAAGTACCTGATTGAAAGGTTAAGCCCGTCTTGATTTATATGGAGATGTCATGGATATCCCATTTGGTCTATGCTTTCATATGTACATTTTACACTGCAGTATTTCAAACTGTCATTTTGACTCTAATGAATACATACCAAATCTTGAAGTCAGTAAAAACTTATTTGTTGTTGTTGTTGCGTGCCGTTGAGTCAGACCCGACTCATAGTGACCCCTCCTTGCGCTTCCAAGGCAGTATCACTAGAGAAGTAGATTGCCCCATCTTCCTTTCGAGGAGTGGCTGGTGGGTTTGAACCACCAGACTTCTGGTTAGCAATCAAGTGCCTTAAAAACTTATTTAGAAGTGTTCAATTGGTCACACATTCTTTGCACATGTATCAATGGCGCTGAACTCTACTCATCTAGCTAATAACCTCATGAAAAGACCAAAGTATCAGCAACTACACTCGGGACAGTGGCAACTAGGGTATAAACCCCAATTAAGAAATTCTGTTAAATGAAACTGTCTGAAATATACTTCTTGCTCACTGCACATATACTATCAATATAATCTGTAAAATCAAGAAAAATATGATCAAAGACCAACTAGTTGTTACAGAAACAAAGTGCTGTTGTAGTCACTGATAAAACAGACCAATACTATTACTTCATAACCTTCTACAGGGAGAATGCGAGTATGCTGGCTATCTCTATCACTGGATTGCTTTAAAAAACCAATTTATAAAAATCAAATTGCATTTTGTTATAAAAATTAAAGTTCACCTTATATATTTTTCCTCTTTGACAGAGCTGAAAACCTAGAATAAATCAGTTCTATTTATTATCACTGTCTAATTATAAGTATCCTGGCACCTGATATTCAAGAATAGTATTTCACTGAACACAACTACTACTCTAAAATATAGGCATACAGTGGTTTGCAAGCATTTGTGGTGTGGTATCCTTTTTCGACCTATGGATGGAGTAAAACTCAGGAGGGAAAATGGGGAGTTGTTGAAGAGTGAGTGAACTGCTAATTTTACATTTAAATCTACTAATACTTGCTCTAGACATTTGATCAGGGTAGAAACAAAACACTCCCTCCATGCTGTCCTCCCCCACCTCACTGAAGTTATTGCAATGGTTTGCTGAGGTTTCTTTTGCAAGCATTTTCCTTGTTGCATGTGTTTGCCAGTGAGACAGAGAAAATTAAAGAATAGAAAAGATAAAGACAACAATTATTTCCAAGGTGCACTGTTACTAAGTATGCTGAGATTAAAAACTAGCACCTTCTCTCTTTCTTCATTTCTTCTTCTCTTCTGTTTTCACTCGCAAAAGCAAACTTCCTCAATAACTAAGCATGCAGAGTCCCAGCATTTAAGTATGGTTTAGAGTAGGGTCAGATATTAAGTATTTTAGGCTTTGTAAGCCACATAAGGTCTCTGTCCCATATTCTTCTTCCCCTTTAATTTTTTACAATGCTTTAAAAATGTCAAAAATACGTTTAGCATTCAGGCCACACAAAAAACAGACTACGGGCTATGGTTTTCTAACCTGCAGTTGAGAACCACACAAATATAGAGCCCAAATTATTTATTTTCATGTATAAGAAGTCACCAACCAATAGTCATTGGTTCTCTTACCTGAAGTCCTTCAATGGCCTCTCTGTTATTTTAAGATATAGTCCAAACTCTTTAACGTGGGCTATATACAAGACCTGTGTGTTCTGACCCCTGCTACCCTTTCCAGCCTCGTTTAAAACAACTCTTTCCATACACTATAGCTTTACCATCTTCTTTCAATTCTTAAATAATGTCATGCTTTTTGTCTCAGGATCTTTGTATGTAGTTTTCTGCTCTTGTACCATGCTGTACTTCTCATTCATGACACTTATTACAAGTATACAAATGGGCCACAAAGTGCCTATGCCTAGGATTATGTCCTCTGTTAATTATTTGTTTTATATTTTCTTCTAGATGAGGTCTACAGCAATTGAGAACTGATTAAATGATTTCAACTGAGAGCAAGGAAATAGGTATCTGGGAAAACATGGAGAAAAATTAAATTTTGTGCAGAGAATGGAGAAGCCCATTCATATGAACTCTGTGGTCACTCTACATATTTATTTTGTTGTCTTTGTTGTTGGGTGTCCTGCAGTTGATTCTGACTCTTGTCTTTACTAGATGTAAATACGAGTTTTCTTTATAGAGAAGGCACTTGCTAAATGTGTTGGCAAATATCTGCTTACTAGGTGCCAATTATTTTATCTGCATTACCCCTAATTTCGACAACTCCCATGGAAGGGAGAAATTATTATTCCTATTTTACATATGAAGAAACATATACTGGAAAAAGGCCAGCCAGCTAGCAAAACGTATCATAAGTCAAACAGGTCTATCAGACTTTAAAAGACAAAAGAGATTTACTAAACAGAAAAGGTGCTTTAGATACAAAAATCACTGAATCATGTCTGGTAGTGCTTTACATCTACAAAGCCTTACAAGACCAGTTAATGTCTAGTTACTGTAAGTGTTACTAGATGTAACTTCAAGGATACTGTCAGAACGAAGTTGTATGTTTAAAATGTTGGCTTTTCCAGTCCAAAAGAGATTAGACATCTTAGTCTCTAAAATTCAAAGCAAAATTCTATCTACTTTTAAGAGGGAATGTGGTAAGAATATTTCCAATATTTCCTGTTATCAGTGTAACTTACACAATAAGCACTTTTAGAAAAGTAAACAATAATAGAGGCTAAATAATTGTGTTTTATATTCAGTCTTAAGAGAGAAAACATCTGGGTATACAGAGTGCTAAGCTGAAATATTAATTAGGTCTTCATGATTAATATTTGTTAACTATACAATGAAACCTGAAAGTTTCTAATTACACAGATAGTTGTGATTTTTTTTTTTGCTGTTGTTCCTAGTCCAAAAGCTTTTGCTGTTTCATAAACAAATGTTTGTATTCTGATGGTAAATACTGAATTTAGATAGACTCAAGGAAAAGTGTTTTTCTTTTCTAAGAATGACTAGTCTTAAGAAATTTTACTCTGTCCTTCAGGCCTGGAATTGAACTCATTTCCGTGAATTAACTTCCAGCCAAACAACAGACAGGCCTACAAGGTGAACAATTACACCAGGAAGGTACAATCCTTACAACAATCAACCATGGGAAATCTGAAGGGCAGTATTTGCATAGGGAGAAAGCTCAGAGCATAGTAATGCATAGGAAAGAAGGATAATGGGAAAAGGTAACCACAGGGAGGAAATGCGAAGAGAGTTGTTACACTGTGGGGAATGCAATCAATGTCATGAAACAAAATTTTTATGAACTGTTGAATGGAAAACAAACTTGCTCTGTAAACTTTCACCCAAATCACAATTGAAGGGAAAAATAAAGGAATTTCACTCTGGCCTAAATTTAACTTGCTATGTCTTACACACACTTTCTAGGAGCTCTGGTAGCTTAGTGCCTAAGGCACTTGACTGCTAACCAGAAGGCTGACAGTTCAAACCCACCAGCCACTCCTTGGAAGGAAGGTTGGGCTACTTCCATAGTGATTCTGCCTCGGAAACCCAAGGAAGGGTCGCTATGAGTCGGGTCACTATGAGTTGGGTCCGACTTGACGGCACAGAACAACAATAACATGTACATTTTCTATTCAGTGAGTCTAGAGCTAGTAGAGATTTTGATCTATGGCAGAAGCCAACCTAAAAAGAAAAACAAACAAACTTGTTTTCCTCTAATATATAAAAGAATAATTTGGAGGCAATATACCGAGTGTTTAAGAGAGGATAAGCTTTGGTTATCAGACAGACCTAGGTTCAACTCCCAGTTCTGCCATTTGCAAGCTATATGACTTTGGATACGTTTATTATCTATTCTGAGCCTCAGTTTCTTCATTTGTAATGAAGATATTAATAGTACTTTCCTCATAGGATTGTTCTAAGCACTGACTTTAAAGTGCTTAGCACAGCACGTGGACCAGACCAAGAACTCAAACGTTAGCTATAAGCACTGTTAATAATATTCTGGTGTCAACCCACATATTTCATGAAAATTAACTAGAACTGCATAGTCAAGAAACTACATACCCTCTAAAATGGCAAAGGCTTATGTTTAAACTAGTGATTCATAAGAAAGATGCCCAGTTACATATGGGTACTGTTAGCTGAGGGCTTTTTCCTTTTCTTCTGCCATTAGTTCAAAAAAAAAAAAAAAAAAAAAAACTGATTCTGAAGAAGCAAACTTTAAGACTCTTGTCTCAAAACACTTCCCTAGTGCTCATCTTGCCCCATTCCTATGCAGATTGGCAAGTATCATGATTTAACAGGTGGCTTATGTTATTTTTAGGTATTCGCATCACAGGTTTATATAAAACCTTGTTTTAAACCAAACATCTACTCAATTCTTGGCAGACCCCTATCTATTTCTAACTATACAAACATCTGCATTTAAAAAGTTCATCTGATCCTTTCTTTCCTCTTCTTGTTGACCACTGCTATGTTCAAATCACTGTTACTTCCTCATTCAACCACACATACCTGTAAATAAAGTGAAGAATTAGAGCCATGGGACATTTTTTGGACCATCCCATCTTTTTGCAGAATGCATTCCTCCAAGTGAATCACATTTGGATGTTGGCTCTTGATACTGCTAAGTGCCCAGAACTCACGAAGAGCTAGTTCAACATTTTCAGGTGCATGGCATCGGATTTTCTTCACTGCCACCCGTGCAGAGGTCTTCCTGATGACTGCTTCATACACAACACCATAACTACCTCGGCCTACCTCCCGTATTAGATCGTACTTTGGCTGGCTACTCACCATCTTCAAGGTCGAGGTTTCTGGAAAAATCAACAAAGTGCTCTGTTGAAATTAGGAATAATTTCTGGCTTGTGTTTTTTCTTATGTATGATTTAGTTATCACCTATTTCACCATCTGCAGTGCTTGAAAGATATTTGCTATACCTTGGGTAAAGCTATGTATTTTAACAATAACAAGAGTGCTTATACTTACGTAGGACACTTACCGCATACCAGGAACTATTTCAAGCATTTTATATTAAATTCATTTAATCCTCACAACATAAATTTATGAGGTAGGTACCACTATGATCATTTCATAGAAAAAGGAAACTAAAGCACAGAGAGGTTAAGTAACTTACCCAAGGTCAAACAGCTAGTACCTTGTGGAACTAAGATTTGATACCAGACCATGTCTTTCTCTGATGTCCATGATTTTAATCACTACACTGTATTGCCACTTACATGAATGGCTTAAAAATGTCACTGTTAGAAATAAACCAAAAAAGTCAGCATTCTTATTTACTAATTGTGAAAAAATGAGCACACAGACTCCAGCTTCTCCTTAAGACTACGGACACACAAAAAAGGTTATAAAAACAAAAACACATACATTAAAAAAAAAAAAAACTCTCGTAGTTAGAAATACAAACACCTGGCTTGTGCCTAAGGACTGAAAGTGAACTAGGCTACTTATAGAACTGAAAAGGTTGTGGTTGTTAGGTGCTATTGAGTCGGTTCTGACTGGTAACTACACTGTTCTGTAAAACAGAACGAAACACTGCCTGGTCTGTGCCATCCTCACAAAAGGATAGCTATTACTATTTAAGAGCAAACAGCCAAACTATGTAAGCTCATATTTTAATTTTCTTATGTTATTTCCTTATTTCTTGCAAAATAAAGTTTGTGGGGAAGAATGTTCCTTTAAAAAGAAAGTAAGCTACTAGGAATATAGTTATCTTCTTGTTGTTTTACAAAAGCTGTTTAGTTCTAGGACATATGTTGCCCACAAAGCTGTCCTGCATATCAAGGGGTCCTCTTACAGAGCTGTTCAGAATTCAACTTGATAAATCATTTAAAGGCAGGAGCAAAGGTCCTACAGAGAAATGTTTTAAGTGTTGAATCAAGAAAATCGAAAGTGTTCCTCCTCCTCCCAGGAATTTTAAGATTCTAAGAAGCTTCAGGCAATCTCATTTATAGATTACCACCATAGACAAGAAAAGTAACCTGAGATTGTGCAATCTCTACAATGTACAATTTGGGGAAACATAAAGCTATTAACTCTACAGTCTGAGAAACTGGAAACAGCTACTTCAAGTCCATAGGAGAGATTTTTAAAAAAGAAAATGAAAGCTTCTGAGATTGCTGCTCACTCCCACTTCCTTTATTATTAGACACCCACCCTTCAAATTCCTTGTGTATTTCTTAGTGTTTGTTTGATTCTGTCATAGACTCCTCTGCCCCAACTACACAGTAAAGATTCTTTTTTGCTCTACTTGGATCGTCAATTACTATGCATCTTTGAAGCTGTCCCATATCCTCTCCAGCTTGCTATAATCCCCATTCGAAAGAGCACCTTCCTGAACAAGGGGGAGGGATGGTGTTCATGAAATCCTTTGAGATCCTGGATCGAAACATACTACGGCGATGCATCTTGGGCGAACTAAGTGACTCACGATGACATTTCCGCGATCACGGGCGGGCCGGCCAGGCCTTACACCTGCTGGTGACCGGGAAGGGCCGGTCCAGGGCAGAGGTGTTCCGCGACGCGGAGGCTCAGGGCCCCGCTCATTGGCCAAGTATCAGGCCCTCCCCCTTCTTGGCTGCGACCAGATAGAAGAACCCGGAGGGGATTCTCTCAAGGCCCTACGCCTCAAGGAGTCAATCCTGCAGCTGCCTTCACACTTTGGGATTGGAAGTCGAGGGCCGGGGCCTGGTGAGAAGGCCATGAGCATAGGAGGCCGCAGTTGGGGCCGGTGGCCTGAGGGGCGCGGGGCCGAAGGCCTGGGGAGAGCGAGGCCTTCCCCAGGATGATTCCACTGACAGATCTATGACAGGTCTCTTGGGAAGGGAGACACATGCAGGGCCTTCGGCTCTGCAGCAGGGTTTCTCTGCCACGCCGAAGGGCCAGATTTACCTCAGGGTAGCCGCCGCCGCTTCTCCCTCTCACGGGCTCTGCAGGCCGCCATTATCGGGCAGCTCGCGCCTCCGCCGCCGCGGCCTCCAGTCAGAGGCCGGCGCGCGCCCCCGTGGTGCGCGCGGACACACCCCCTTACGCCTTGCGGCCCCGCCCCCCTCCGGCTTTCCGTAGCGTGAGCCGGGAAGCCGAGCGCTATTCTTATTGGTCGCGCCCGGTGTTCTGCTGGCCTCCTCGAGTCTCCCGTCGCTTTGAAGAGCCGGAGTTGCAGGAGGTGCGCGCACTCCGGAACGCACCATTTGCGCCCCTCCACGTAGGGGTGGCCGAGCACGGGAAGGAGGAGGCCACTTCTTGCCCGGGGTTCGGTCGCCCGCCCGCTGCTGCAGGCGTGCGTGGCCTGCAACCCTGGGAATTGTCTGCAATAGCAAGTCTGAGGCTGAGGACGCGAGTGCCAGGCCGCGGCCTCTTGCCTCCCCTCCCTGTTCCCCTACCGACCTACCGAGCTGCGGGCAGGTGTGAGGGGGTCGCTAGGGTGGAACGCCTGGTGCATCTTCTTTCGCGCCGGTCTAGGGTACCTGCGAACTGCGGAGCTCTTCCGCGGAGCTCTTCCGCGGCTTCGCGGGGAGGCACGACCCAAGCTGGGAGGTCTGGCGTCTGCCCTGCCGGTAGGGAGGCAGCACCTTTTGTCAGAGTCACTGAGCCATGTTTGCGGGCGGTGCAGCTGCCAAGGCGGCGGCGGCGCGGGGTTGGGTGCGATCATCTGGGAAGATGCCGTCCCCTGCCCCGCCGACGCGGTGGTATCTCCCTTAAAGAAACCGGCGCCTCATTGTTCCCGGGCTGCGGCCGTGGGGAGTCTGGGGCGCTCTGTGGGGAGCAGGGAGGGAGGGAACGGCAGCTCAGCCTATGGCTGCTAGTGCTTGCCCACGGCCGTCCTGGCTGCAGCTCGGTAGGGGTTCTAGAGAGTCGAGATCCAGCCGGCGCGCGGGGAGAAGCGGCTAGCAGGGGCGGTCGGGGCCGAGATTGACACCGAAGACAGCAGTTCTTTGGAGGCCAATTGTCAGTGGGCGCCTCAGCCATCAAAGTCTTTCAGCTACATGGCAGCCCTCAGTCAGATCCCTGCACTCCTTCGGGCTGACAGCCAACTCCCAACTAACAGTTACTCAGAGACCAGATCCAACGAGCCGTTCAATTAGTTACACAGATCAGTAAGCATCAGCCAGAAACGTCCATTTCTTCTCCACCGATTTATTCTGCACCTATTTGTCAATAAAGGAACTTGGGTAGCGCCGTGCCTAAGGCATTTCCTGCTAACCAGAAGGTTGGCTGTTCAAACCCACCAGCTGCTCCGCGAAAGGAAGATGGAGCAATCCACTTCCGAAAAGATTTACCATCTCGGAAACCCAAAGGGGGTCGCTATGAGTCGGAATAGAGTCGGTGGCAGTGAGTTTGGTTTTGTTCATTTGTCAATAAAGTGGTTGGCCCTTGTCCCAGCTCTGTATAAGGCATGAGATACAAAAAATTCCTTTCCCTGCTCTCAAGGAGCAACGAAAATTATTGTATTTGCTCTTCTTCATTTATGAGCCTTCTACTGGGTTAGGCCTTATGTAAATTACCTTGCTAATCCTAACCAAAACCCACAAGGGCAGGCTTTATTATTAACCTTGATTTTACAGGTGAGGAAACAGAGACCTCTGCTTCATTTGACTGGAAGATACCTGTTTTGGGTGGTACCTGCCTTGAATCTCCCCACCATGTAACATTCCTTTGTCCTCATCCTTTTTCTGTAGAGTCCATTCCAACTCAGTGACCCTATAGAACAGAGTAGAATAGGATTTCTGTAAACCTTTACAGAAGCAGACTGCCATATCTTTCTTCCAAGGAGCAGCTGGTAGGTGCTAACTGCTGACCTTTCTGTTAGCAGCCAAGAGCTTAACCCATTTATGACCAAATTATTTTCTGCTTTGAATTTGTATTGTGTGTTTTCAGTAATGGAAGCCATGCTGAAGTTGAGGAAAAAAATATTTTGAGGTAATATGGGTTTTGATATAATATGTGGGATACATGTCCCAAGTGGACTTTGGTGGTAGTGAGGCCTGTTTCTTCAGATTCATGCATTTATCTGAAGTCCCCATCAGATGGTAGCATGTACTACAACTGGCATAACAGTTTCCCAATAAACTCTGAGAGGCTGAGTATGTTTGTGGGCGATATATATCCCATAGGTCAGGAAAGGCTCCTATCCCTCCTTATGTTGTTGTTGTTGTTATGTGCCTTCGAGTCGGATCCGATTCATAGCGACCCCTCCTTGGGTTTCCAGGCGGTATCACTACGGAAGTAGATCGCCCAACCTTCCTTCCGAGGAGTGGCAGGTGGGTTTGAACCACCAGCCTTCTGGTTAGCAGTCAATACTGCTCTATAATCTGTTCAGATTTTTGTCCTGAGTGCCCTGTATGAGTTGTCGAGTTGTCGACACTCTGCTCAGAATTCTGATGTCAGCCAAGACTTTCTGCCCTTGAAAGTGGTGGGAGATGATCTCCAAGTCTGTATGTAGACCACTCCCTGTGTAGGTTATTTGATCAGTCAGGAGAGAGGCCAGAAGATCTCTCTTTTGGTCAGAGGAGCCTTTTTCTTTCTTTTCTTTCTGTCTTAAATATCAAAGGAGCTCTTCCTGTTCTGTCAATCAGCTTGTGGAACTGAGACTTGAAACCTCTGCCCTTCACCAAAGATAGGTTGACTCCAAAGCCTGTTGTTGTTGTTATGTGCCCTCCAGTCGGATCTGACTCATAGCGACCCCTCCTTGGGTTTCTGAGGTGGTATCACTATGGAAGTAGATTGCCCAACCTTGCTTCAGGAGTGGCTGGTGGGTTTCAACCATCAGCCTTCTGGTTAGCAGTCAAGTGCCTTAGGCACTATGCCACCAAAGTCTGTTAGGTGGATTCAAGTTTTGTGAAACCCAAAGCTTATAATAATTTCAGGTGCCCTCTCTGGGAAAAAGATTACAAAATGGCCCTGTGAAGGCATGATTGGAAGCTTAGAAAGGGTCCCTGTAAGTGAGGGACTCCAGCTTAAACCCATTAGCTTTAGTGTCAGTCTTATTATGTTATAGTATTATTTTTGCCTATTAACCTTCTTCTACTCGACTGAGAGCTCTGGTAGCATAGTGTCTAAGGCATTTGACTGCTAACGAGAAGACTGGCGGTTCAAACCCAAGGAGGGGTCGCTATGAGTCGGATCTGACTTCACGGCAGTGGGTTTTTGGGTTTACTTGACTGAGAGTTTCTGAGGACAGGAACCTGGTCTGCCATTCATCTTCACAGTCTCCTCAATCTGATACAGAATCAAAATACACCTGAGGATAGCATTCTCATATGCTGGAGGGAAAGCAAATGCTGCAAGTCTTAGCAGGGAAATTTGGCAACAAATAGCTACATTACACATTTATTTGCCCTTTGACCAGTAATCGTAGGTCAAATCTTAAGACTTCTAAGAATTTATCCTAGTGATATAATGGAAAATTACAAAAAGCTATAGATTCAACTCTATTCATTACGGTGTTATTTTTGTATTAAGAGATTGGAAACCATCCACATGTCTATTAATAAATTGGTTGCATAAATTATAGTACATATACAGAATGGAGTACTAAGCAGCTATAAAAAGTATGGAAGATACTATCTACTAATACAAAGTAATCCTTATGTATATTGTTAAGTGAAATAAGCAAGTGGCTTAATAGTGAAATTGGACCAAACTTGGGTCCCTGCCTGGTGTGCAGTCAGGCCCAAACAGTTTACACACCGAGTGATTAAGAGGAGAGAAAATTTTTATTGCAAAGCAGCAATGCAAGGAGTCAGGGGCCATACCCAAATCTGACTCCTTGAATGGCGGTCGGGTTATGGTTTTTGTAAGTTTCAGGAGAGGGGGGTTATACATATTCATAAAAACTTCAGGAATTTGGGCGTGAATTAGCTGAGGATTGGCTGAAATTTCCTTCACCTCAGTTTAAAGAGACAGTTGTTTTTTAATGCAGTGCGCTTCCGCACTGGATGAGTCACACTGGCTTCCTGTCATCAGCTGATTGGGGCTTAGGTAGAGGGGAGAATAGGAGAATATCAGTTTCCAGCAACTTTGTTCCTGTTTGTCTCACTGCGCATGTCAGCGTTTCAAGTTATCTCTGTTTCAAGTTGTCTCCCGAAACACATTAACATACTTATCACCTGTTTCTAGGGGATAACATGGAGACAATATGTAAATTGACCTTTCATTCCATTTAGTTCTTAAGGACTGAGTTATCATGTTTACTTATATACCTTCAACTGGGAATGTAGGCTGAACTTTGACTCCACCGGCTTCAATAGTATTTCTGGTATATGATCTTCTATAGCATGTGATCTCTGGTGATAGAAATGATGCTGGAGATTGCATGATAGAACTTTGCAAAACCAAGGACTTATTCACTGCAAATTCTTTTTTCAACAACATAAACTATGTACATTTATACACATGGACCTGGCAGGATGGAATCACAGGAAACAAATCAGCTACATCTGTGGAAAAAGATGATGGAGAAACTCAATATTATCAGTCAGAATGAGGCCAGTGACCAACTGTGGAACAGATCATCAGTTGCTCATATGCAAGTTCTTGTTGAAGTTGAAGAAAATTAAGTTACCATGAGAGCCGAAGTATGACTTTGAGTATATCTTACCTGAATTTAGAGACCATCTCAAAAATAGATTTGAGGCATCAAATACTAATGACCAAAGACTAGATGAGTTAAAGGATGATATCAAGGACACCATACATGAAGAAAACAATAGGTCATTAAAAAGACAAGAAAGAAAGATAAGACCAAAATGAATGTTAGATGAGATAGAAACTTGAACATAGAGTAGCTAAAATGAAGAAATGATGAAGTAAAAGAGCTGAACAAAAGATCTCGAAGGGCAGCTTGAGAAGACAAGTATTATAATGAAATATCCCAAGACTTGGAGCTAGAAAACCAAAAAGATAGAACATGCTAGGCATTTCTCAAGCTGAAAGAACTAAAGAAAAAAAATCAAGCCTTGAGTTGCAACACTGAAGGATTCTATGGGCAAAATATTGAACAACTCAGGAGGCATCAAAAGAAGATGGAAG